GTAGTATTTGCACTTAGCATTTGTCTAATTCAACCCTAATTGGCTTCTCCTTTTCTCACAGAGGCATTTATGTTCCAAGTGGTGATTTCTTTCTGTAGATACATAGGAAGAGTCTCTCAAGTTTGATGGAGATAGACGGTTTAGTAGTGACTTAGCCATATGTATGATGTCGGAGTTTGTGCTAGCAGTTTGAGCACTAGTTCTGTGTGCCTATGAACTCAGGGCTGCTTGTTGTCCCATACCATTTTGACATGGAGAATTAATCCCATCTGTTACGCAAAGGCTACTACGTTAATGGTATTTTCTTTACAAAAATTAAAATTTTATTTTTAGCCTTTAGCTAAGGAAATTGTTCAGTAGGTACTCAGCTATTTCAAAAAACAAAACAAAAAAAAAAAACCCCAAAAATATTCATCATTAGACAACTGGAGTTTTTGCTGGTTTTATAACCTATTAAAATGGATAGGCTGTTGAACATTCCACATTCAAAAGTTTTGTAGGGTGGTGGGTTATGGGGAATCCTCAATGTTTATTTTAAAATAAATAAAATAAATTCTTGACTTTTCTCATGTGTGGTTGTGGTACATCATATTGGAAGGGTTATCTGTTTACTTTCGCAAATGAATATTTCTTTTGCTAGCACCTCCCCTTGTGTGCTTTGATTTCATCTGCCTGGGATGTACCACAACCATATGTAAGTTGTATTTTAGAGGGACAAATAAAACATTCATGGTTTGTTGGATAACCCCTAGATAACATGTGCTTACAATCCTGTGTAAGACTAAATTTGTTACTGTGTAGAAAATAGTTTCATGACATTTAGAAGTCAAACTTGAAATAAGGTGGTTTTTTTTTTTTTTGTTGTTTGTTTGTTTTAATATGAATCAGTTCAGAGAGGCGGGATGAGAGATAAACCTTCTGAGTTTGAAACTTCTATGCATTAGTACAGATGTGAATGTGTAAAGTTGTTTGTAGCTTTATTATATCTGTTTTAAGAGTTCTTTTTGAAATACTATAATTTTGTGGGGGCATTCTACATAAACTTTGTCTCAAGTCAGACCATATTTTCAAAGAAATACCTCATTGGACAGAGAACTTTTGCAGAAGACCCATCAAGATCAGAATCTTGGTACTTGGTATTTTGTATAATACTTGAATTCTTGTCTTAGGTGCAGAAATCCTTTCGTTGGGTCAAATGTGTATTTTAGCAGTTACAAGGGAATCATGGTTCCACATGTGGCTGTGGTCTCTGGGTGTAGCAAGACCATGTATAAAATACTTTGGTACAAGCACAGTCACCTCACATGGATAATGAACTTTTTAAAAAGTCTTCAGTGAAGGGAGAATGTTAGTGATTACCTTGGTCAGGGCAGTTTTGTTTCTAGATCCTAATATTCCTAAAAATATGGAAATTTTTTTTCTGATCATTGTATCTTGATATTAAAATGACTGTTTGATGTTTTTAATCAGTTAACTTCTACCAGTTATTTTGTCTCCTTATACAGCTCTGTGTAGGAGACTTGCCATTTATAGGACACATGAGAATGTGTGCTTATTAGGCGCTTTCATTGAGGTGCTCAGTTGATAACCGGGTCGTAAGTGCTTGAGGTACAGTAATTGAGCAGTGATCTTCCTTAGTGCTGTAGGAAATTTGCTCATGTTTCTCAGATATATCTAAATTAGTCGGAATGAGATACAGGTAAGCAGTGTATCTGTACACTTCATTTCGATTTCAAGCTCCTGTATCTGCATCCCACTTGAGCTCTTCCTAAGCACTTCTAGCATTTCCTAGGTTACCCTTTTATAAAGAGTCAGTTTTGCCCATGAGCTTGTCTTTTATAGAGATAATGGGAGAAGGACCTCTAGCGAAAAAAAGTTAAAAGTTACGTTTTCCTATTTTGAATTTAAAAAGGGAGAAAACTAGTAAATATCTTAACACTAGATTAAATTATATGAAAACTTGATTATTCCTCATTGTCAGGGTGATACCTCCTCTGGTTGCATGCCATCCAGCAACACTAAGTGAAGAAGTGTTCCTTGTGAGAGCAGAAAGGACCAATATGTCGGCCGATCTGAGAAGGCTAGGCTGCTTTCTCAGTCTCTGGTCCTGCTAATATTGTCCTTGAACAGCTGTTCTGAAGCCTAATTCATTTCTCCATGCAGCAGCCAACATCTTTGAATGTAGATAGTGAAAGACCAGCCATTTGTTCCTAGTTCACTGAACAGCTTCTAATGTACTTAAGGTAATAGCTTTCACTAAGTATTATTATGAAACACTTAACAATTGAACTAAGCCTTCCAAATTTGGTTATCCTTGTCTGGTACCCTGCCAAGCCCTGGGTGAGCAAAACGCTGTGGTTCAAAGACTATATACTAAAGTAGTGTGTAGATAGCGCAGCATGGACAGTCATAGAAGAGCATGACTGGTAAATGAGCTGGTCAAACTGATGAGAGACTTGAAAAGGGACAATTGCTAAGACTTGAAGATCCAGACAAAAGGGAAAAGTAGCCAAAGGTCCAGTCCTCAATGACTTGTGAATGCTGTCTGATTTAAGTGGAAAAAGTTAAGGATTAGCAGGCTGGGGAAGGTGGTATGTGTTGTCAGAGGCTGATGCAGGAGGATAAAATGGCCATCTTGGACAACTTAAAAGAGATCCTGCCTTAGAAGTTTGGAAAAGGGCTTGAGGATGTATACCTCAGTGGTGAGAGAGTTCTCGCCTAGCATGCAGAGCTCTGGGTTCAGGCCCCAGTACTATGAAAAACCAAGAAGTAGCAGAGGATTAAACAGGTAAGGGGTACTATAGTCAGCTTTGTAGCTGCATGCCGTGTTAAATTTAAGATGGGCATTGTTCAGGGTGGGGATGGTGGGTCACTTAATAAATTTGCCATTTAAACGACACACTACAATGTTGAAATGTGTGGGGTAAGCATTGTAGGAAATACATTTTTATTGAAGTAGCCCATTGTGAGAAACTACTGCAACATAAAAAGGTGTGGGGCAGTAGTGGTTAAGTACGTCCTACAGATTTCCTGTCTCAGTGGCTACTCATGAGTTGAGCATCCTTTGGTGGCTTCTGCAGGCGTTGAACGGGATTTCATCTCAGCTCTTCTCACCAGGTGATTCAGTTCCATAATTTTGATAGTTGGAATTACAGTTACTCCTAAGTATTTGTAGTTCCAGACTCATATCTCCGTACTACTCACACGTTGATTGGAGTCTCGTACTCCAAATCGACCTCGATAATGTACAGCCGCTGCTTTCCCTTCATCCGGATGCTCAGGTGTATTAATGTGGGGGCGTAAGTCCACCTGGTTCTACTTTGGCAGCTTCTTGAGTCTCTTAGCGCTCAGGACCACACTACTACCATTCTGTAACACGAAACTACAGTAACTTATGATAGCTATCTTGTTTCTCCTCTTGCCCTTGTGTGGTTCAGTTTCTGTACAGCAGCGAGAATGAACCCCTGCACAAACTGGATGTAAGTCCCCTGTCCTCCAGACTCCAGTTGCTGTCCTTAATTAAAATTAAACTGTAATTCTGGTCCATATTTCCAATATTACCGAGTTGTTTTCCTGTTAGCTTTTCTTTTGTTCACACCAGTTACACTGACGGCTTTCCCCTGGCGTTTCTGTGCACATTTTCAGCATGGGCAGGCTGCCGTATTTTCAGTGCTCATTCTACGCTGAAGTCTACTCCTGTGTCACCAGCTCGAGAGAACTTCCTTACCCGCCAGAGAAAGTGAATCGGGTCACTTTTTACTTGGATTCTTTTTCTTAATATTTAAAACTTAAAACTTTAAAAAGAGGGTTGGGGAGATAGCTCAGTAGGATAAGGACCTGAGTTCAATCCCCGGTTCCGCAAAAAATAAACCCGGTTTTTGCAAAGATGGGTAGTGTTACTGAGTACATTAAAATTGGAAGTGTCTATCTGAGGGAGTTTGAGTAAGACAATTGAGTTCGACCTCAAACGTCCACTCTTAGCCAGGAAATCAAGCAAGCCACTACATATTTGGAATTCGCTCCGGCCTCAAAGGTAACCCATATGGTTTGGAGCTGGAGGACAGTAGCTAGAAAGCACAACCCCAAGGCGAGTTTTCCGATTTTAAACACGGGCAAGGAGAGCTTGTGAAGCATTGCGGGTGGTGGGTAGGAAGTACACAGAATTTCAGGTAGGTCCACAAAGTCAAATTCTGCAGGCTGGAAGGCGAGATGGATAAAACAGGTCGGGTGGCTGAATTTTGCCAAACGAGGGGGTCAGTAAGGTTGCATTAAGTGCGGAGCCGTCGCCACTTGAGGAACCAGGCTAACACGACCATGGGGAAGCCACGTGCTGCCCCGGACCGTGGGGACACCCTTCAGCACGGCGGTAGGAGGGTGGAGGGGTGGACATTTAGGAGCCTATTTTACCCAGCGTCTGTCGCTGTAACACGGCGACCGGAAACGCACATCCGCGGTGGCGTAGTGGAGCCGCTAAGCGCCCTGCGTATCTGACGTCATCACCCGGAGACGGCGTTTAGGAAGGCCCCACGCTGCCCGCCGCAGCCGAGCGCTGGTGGCTTCGCGCCCGCGTTGTCTGCGCCTGAGCGGGACGCGTGCGGCTGAGCAGGGTGAACTGAGCAGGCGGCCAGGCATTCGCTAGGGGCAGCCTGCTGCTCCTCCCTCTTCTGCAGTCTGGTGGCCCCACGTGCTTCCGCTTAGCTGCGGGTTGGGATCTGCGGGGCTCCGGTCACAGTACGGTACGTCTTGCGCTAAGGCGGGTGATGGCTGCCGAGGAGCTGTCGCGTCCCTCCTGGGCAAGGAGAGGAGCTGGCCAGGGGACGAAGGTTCTGC